GGTTTCCATTTCAAACGAAGTCCCTATGGTTCGGTAGACCTTCTGGAATCTATACAATGTGCATGCCATTTCATACATATAGACGCCCAGACCAAAACAACACATGGCAGCTGTAACAGTCATTTTAAGCATGTCGGATAGGGATTTACACTCAGGCTGATGTTGTGGGGGAGGACTGGTGAAGCACCATGGATTCTGAGATTCCAGCCATTCCATTTGGCTTTAGGGCTCTGTTGAAAGTCTAGTCTTCCCTCTGAACCCCACATTCACTGGTTAATATAGCACTGCTGTTGGAGTCTGTCACCATGGAACCATGTCTTAGTTTAATTTCAAACCCTGAGCTGGTAAATGTACCTATAAACCACACTGTGTGCTCCAAAATCTCATGGTTATACTGTTTCATTTAGGAATTCGGTGAAACCTACCCACTGGGTCATTCAAAGTTTGTTTGTAATGGTCACTGCCAGTGATGGAAGGTCGGAGTTTGATGCTTGCACGCAAACTAAGTAAAAGCCCAATACTGTATCCCAATATTGTACATTTCATCAACTTTTCAACTCATGACAAGCAACCTGGAACAAGAAAACACTAAAATGTGCAGTGGCTATCTGGCTGCACCAGTACTGGGAACCATTTTAAAGGCTTTTTAGATGCAGCATTTAAGACTGGCTTTCCAGAAGATATTGTAGCCACTGGCTTGTAGCCACTTTCCGCAGCTCCGCTAGGGCCATTCCACCAGTGGAATGGATATTGACGTTTTTAATTGATATAATCAGATAAAATATTCCCCATAAAAAGTTTCCCCATAATTCTGTAAGCAGATTAACTATGACATTGTTGGATCTCAAATGTTGTGACTCTGTGTTGAGCTGCTAGCGAGCAATGAGGGGCAAAAGGGAAGGGGTGAGAACCTCCTTCTGTGAAAACCAATTCACACCTCCTCATAAAGACAGCCATGCTAAAATAACTACAGCTCTTTATATGTCCAAAAATCATGTACAGCAAAAATAGCATCGAAATACAATCAAAACACTTATTTGTCGACTTGCTTGCTTACCTACGAGGATGAACATCCAGTTAGTCATACAGACTTCCATTAAAATATATTCCATCAGCATTATTAAAGAAAAAAATGCAGAGTAAAATTGAGGAACTGTCTCAAAAACAGGTGGAAATTGCTATTTATGGCTAAGGGTCAATGGTTTTCAAGCTACAGCTAGTGAATTGATCTGGTGTACTAGTTAGCCATTTAGTGTGAGAAGCTTAAAGGAAAATTACACAGATTCCTCTTTACCCCAAATGTAGTCTTTGAGCCAAGACAGGTTTATGTTATCTGTGTTACCTATAAAAATGGAATAGAGAACATAGCATAGATGAAAACAGCAGTAGCAGTTTTTTTAGGCCTGAATTTTGATCCCTTTTACAGATAAATGTTAGTAATATAAGTGTCAGAAAGACCATAAGCAAGTCTATTAGAGATCACATAACAACTTGGCACAGTTTGAGTCGTGTGTGTGATGATTTAAGCATGTAGCTTGCATAATGCTAATTGCGTATTAGCTTCCTATACTAATTAGCTACATTAGCCTCATAACTCCAGTGAAAAGCTAAAGAAGCAAAATTCAGACAACAAACGTGTCTTAGCTGGTCACTTGCATTTGGACTGAGGGGAAAATTGGGTAAATGTGATTTTTTGATAGAATATTGCTTTATTACATGTAAAGACATTAGCATAGGGGGTCATCAGTTCCAGCCCTGGAGGGCCTGCAGTCCAGCACAGTTTGCTGATTCTTCAGAAGGTAATTACCAGGTTTGTAGGTGCCGAGCAGAGAAATCACCAAACTGTGCTGAACTCCAGCCATCTAGGGCTGGAACTGATGACCCCTGCACTGGTCTTTAGTCAGCTATTTATACTGCAGCACTTTCAGGCACAAAGATGCACCAACTATATACAAAGATAATCTCATACTCATTGATGTCAACACTCTTTGATTGGAAAACAGCACTAAGCCGTCACATCATGTTCCTCTTGAGCTCAGCTCAGCTCAGCTGTTCCCCATACCTTCTGGTTGACACAGCTAGCAAAACAACACTTATCAAAGCAGAGGTCAAATTCTTCTACTCTACTCTTGCATCTACACTGTGCTGCGGTGGTCTTCTTAATGTAAATTATTATACTACTAATGACTGATTTGTTTCTTTTTGTCCTTTTTGGACCATTTACAGGATTATTATTCAGATAATAGTGTTGAATTAGTTCTTATTTGGAAACTACATTGAATTAGGAAACTACTCTGAAACTGATCTGTAACTTATGTGGTTATGAGAGCGAGGAATTGAAATTGGACCCACATATTGGCCCTTGGGTTTTAAAGCGGCACTCCAGCCACAATAAAGAATGTAACCATTAAAACATCTGTTGTAAACATGCCAACTCACTTCTTACAGTGGCGCTGCAGTAGCTTCCAGAGTGCTATTTTTAAATTTAAATAGTAGGAAAACCCCTTTTGATGAGGTAACTTGAAGGTGGTAGGAACTATTAAAAAACTACAAGGGATTTGGGGCAGAAACTTGAATGTGGGCTGTTTGTTTTTCCCTACTAGCTGACTAAGACAGAAAGCCAGCAGGATTTCATTACTATGTAGGGATTCCCAATAGTGCTAGGACATAATTGCGTAATGCATGCTGTGTATTGTAGTGGCAGAACACTGATAGACAAAAACACAAAATGGATACAGAATGGTGAATTCTTTCAAACATATGAGGCTGACGGGTGCAGAGCTGCACTATAGACTATTATATATTACATATACATATCACAAATATTACATATCTCGTCCATCAGTGCTAGTTTTAAACCAGAATGCCCCTTAAGGGTTACAAGTAATTTGCATATGATAAACGAATATTGAATACTAAATAGGAAATGTCAATATGAATTGTAAACAGTAACAGTAAAAGAATAGTACATATGGGGTTTTAGTGAGTAGTGTGAGGTTGTGAGTATTTAAATATTGTGTCTGTAATGTTATGACAATAAGCATGAGGCATGTGGGTCACAGGAGAATAGAGGAGGTTCAGAGTGAAACATTCACTCTCAGTTTGCACACCAGATGAACCTGATTGGGATTTGAAACTCCAGCATGTCAGAGACACTCAATCCATCAAAAAGGAGAACAGGCCAACTGAGGGGTATTTTATTTCAATTTTTGAAGAAAATGTCAAGATTAGTCAGTCAAACTATGTTACCCAATTCAATTTAGTTTGATCAGTGACAAAAAGTTCAGTTTAACCGATGTTAGTTAAACCACATTAAACTAACAGTATCAATAAATAAGTAAATAAATAAATACATGGCAGCAATATGTCAAATTATTGACCCAGTGTCTTTTCAGTATATTGACCTAGTATCTCAAAATATTTACTTATTTTCTGAAAATATTGACTTACTATGTCAAAATACTTATTTTCTAAAAGAAAAACTGAAAATATTTAAAAATTACAACTTACTGTGTCAATATAATGACATAGATGAATCTCATACTAATTACTTATTATCCCAAAATAATGAGGGATAATGAGATATTAAGTCAATATTCTAAGAAAATAATTAATTATTTCAAGATATTATGGCAATATTTCAACAAAACAACTAATTATTCTAAGGTACCATGTCAATATTTAAACAAAAAAAATATTTTGAGATGCTAAGTCAATATTCTAAGAATGTAAGTCATTATTTTGACATAGTAAGTTGATATTTCAAGAGTATGTCATTATTTCAAGATACTATTTCAATATTTAGACATACTCCCAGAAACAGGGAAGGAGAAAAAAAGATCATAGGTGAAAGCACTATGGTTGTAGAGCCATCTTGTGGTGAGTACTAAACACTACACAAAGTAGTGAATCCTGAATACACTGATCTTAATGTATCAAACTCCATGTTGTTGATTTTCTAAGTGAAAAAAAGTTACCACGTCCTCTATGAAGAACACACTTTCACACATTTTAATGCACAATTACTGCTTATTTGCTGAATTTAATATATTGGAAAAAAAAATTAATACAAAATGTGACCTGTGCAAAAGTTATGGTACTTTTTATACTGTGTTTTTTTTTGTTTTGTTTTGTTTTGTTTTTTTAGATATTATACTCAGCAAATAAACAGATACTGAGCACTACAATTTGCTCCTAACAACCACTTGCAACATCTGGTAGACCACCAAAACTTAAAATCAAGCTGCTTCAGATCTGAAAAAATCCACAGGTGTTTCTGTCCATCCTTCCACTGTGAGAAGACAATTCAGCACTATGAGTCTGAAAGGATGTGTAGCTGTTCAGGAAGCTCTTACTGAGAAAAGGAAAGAGACACATCAAACAAAGAAGCTGCTGGTGTTCTCAGAACAATGGACTGACCACCCCAGAGTCCAGACCTCAAGATCACTGAATGTGTTTAGGATTACTTGGATGGTGAGAAGCAGAAAATGTTAAACCAACTTCTAAGACTGAACTTCGGAGGTGTGGCTGCAGATTTCTTTGAGAAACTGAAAGTGAGTCTCCTGAAAGGAATGGAATGTGAAATAAAGGTAAAGACTGGACACACTAAATACTGAAACATCTGATATTATATTCTGTGTACTTGATAAATGTCTCAAGTAGAAGTAAAAGTAGTCCACAACAGAACAGTAATGGAACTTCTTAGTCCAACCAGCATCCATCAGTATAAAAACTGAATTTTTAGGTGGTATTCTCCTCTTTTTAGGCTCCTTTTGGCCTAAAATGAAAAAGCTCAACAGTAAGAGGTGCAAAGCAGTCCAAAAAATAGATCCCTTTTCTCACAAAGATGTTTGAGTAGAAATAAAAAAGATTTAAAACACTACAAAACTACTACAAAAATACATTAAATGGTACCTCAGCTGTTATTCTAAAAACATTGGCGTTCTCCGTCCACAAGATGGCAGTATCATCTCACCTGCCCTCAGCTTCTAACTGTCCAGCTCTTTTTCATGGCAGCGTCCACCTATTGTCAGCAGTTTTTATGGATAAAAACTTCAGAAAAAGGCAACCAGAACATCCACAAAACTAGACGACCACACAGGTAGGCGTTCTTCGTCTAAAGCAGCTTTTATTTGTCATGTAACATTTTGGTCAAAACGGTCCTGGGTTCTACAGAAACGTACAGTACCACTTAAATATATTTACAGTCAGCTATCCTGTTCTCAGACTTATTTTACACAGGCTGAATCATAAACGGCTCACTGTTAGACACATAGTGCACTGCTTGAGTGTGTTAGCCATTACATCTTGACCTACGTGGTGTATTTGAGAATATCCGTTTGAGATTCAGCCACAAGAAATACAAACTTGCTAGGAAATTTCATTGCGCATGCGCACATGCATTCATGTCACGAAGCAGTTTTTTTTAACAACTAAGGCTGTATCTCAAACCGACCTCTAGTTCCCTATGTGGTAAATTACTATAGCCCATTGGGTTGTAAAGGGGACTGAAATTACTGAAACACTGGGATGTAAACAGACTTCTGGAGCAGTATGCTAACCGTTAACGGACAACTGACAACTGACGTCCTTCCTGCTAGAAAAAAACAGCATGTTTTGGAAGCTGGTATGCTGGTCAACCAGCATGACCATGCTGGTCAACCAGCCCCACACCACCACTAGACCATCTTAGACCAGCATAGAATTCATGCTAGTCTATGCTGTTTTTTTTCTGCTGGGCTAGCAGTTAATAAAAATCTGACTCACATTCACATTTAAAAACACCACATTTAAAAAATGGATTTAAAAAATTGTTTACAACATGTCTGTTTACTTCCAGTTAGCTTATGCCAACTGCTAGTTATCTCCTCATCTGTTTTCATCGTTTTTTCAGTAACTTTCAATTAATTTCAATATATATATATCGTTATGTATTTTCAGTGTTTTTGTGTGTGGCACACAGATACCATTTTTAGTCATTTTAATTGTTCATTTTTATTCCAAAGCGATGTTAGCCTACTCTATGGAGCCCCCCTGGTGACATCCTGTATAAATAAACATAATGCGTGGCCACGACTTAGTAAAGCGTGGGAACGAGATCCTAATGCGTGGCCACGTTTTAGTAAGCCGTGATCTCGTTACCATGCTTTACTAAGTCGCGGCCACAACTTAATCATCTCATTCCCACACCTTACTAAGTCGTGGCCATGCATTAGGATCTTGTTCCCACGCATTAATAAGGCGTGGCCACGCATTATTTTTATTTATACGGGATGTCACCAGCGGGGCTCCGTACTACTCAGTGTAGCATCCACATAAGTCTCACTTACAGACTCGTTCTGTACGTGGTGCTTCAAGGAGTTACCAAAAATGAGTTAGCAATGTTTACATCTAGCAAAAGTGAGCAGTAAAGGTCCAACAGTGTTGTTTGAGAGGACATTGTACGTTTCTAGCTATGTCTTCAGTTATGAGGGTGAGTAGCTTAAAGATTCACCAGTATTGTTCAATTAGCTACCACAGACACAGTACGTATAAACACTGACATGAGAAATTTCAGTCATTTGCTCAACTGTGCTCAGCTTTGGTTTCACATTACTCATATCATTTTGTATCTGGATAGACAGGCTGTAGAGGAAGTTAGCGTGTGAACTTGCAAGAAGCATGAGAAGTCATATGAGAGTAGGGTGAGGTTTAGGAAAAGCGTTAACCTACTCTCAAACTGTGTGACTTCTTGTGCTTCTAGCAACCTTTGGTGTGGTGGCCAATGGACACTGTTGGACAATGTTCAAAATATTCACCCTCATAATTGAAGATGTAGCTAGACAGGTACAATTTAAAGCCCTTCTTGAACTTAGTAGACTTGTAAACATCCCTAACTCCCATTTTTTGGCAACTCCTCCAAGCACCATGTATAAAAAGAGCCATGATGAATCTGTTAGTCGGCCTAATGTTAGTGCTATACTGAGTAGACTGTCCAACATCACTCTGGAATAAAACTTAACAACCAAAGAGACAAAAAACGCTTTTCACACTATTTTCAAAAAGCAAACACTGAAAATAAAGAACAATATGTACAAAATTGATTTGAGCATAATGAAGGAACGATGGTGAAGAGATAAGTACAAATTTGGAATGAGGAAATACATCATTGTGCATTGTCCCATTTGACCTGCTTTGAAAAAAGCTTGTACACTCATGAATTAGATCAATCAGGACAAATGTTCAGAACCTGCCTTTTGAGGTCCACTGTGGGGACCAATGTTTTGGTATAGTAGCGTATTTTCAAATCCCCAGTTAGTTCACTACATAGCGAAAAAAGTTCTAGTTTGAGAAACACACTATGAAAACTTTTCTTCCCATGCAAAGTGAAGCAGAAGGATGTTTTTCACAAAGCAGGATTTCTACAGTGTGTCGGCCAAAAGTGAAGGTAGCCCAGTAGGAATGTTCCTGACCTCTTCTTCTATTGGACAGTCTTGACTTCTGGTTTAAAAGCCCAGTCACACTAGCTTTTTGCCAGTGAGGTTAGAAAGCTGAAGTGCATTAATTTAAATTAAATTCAAAGGGGTGAGCACTTTCACGTTGAGTTCACATTGAGTTCAACTTGTTAACTTTGACATGTGAATTCACATCAACAACCACCAGCGCTATTGCTTTGGCTGCATTGACCTCTGAAGGGGTGGGGCCTTGTACAGCAACACTGAAGATCCAGAATGGAGGAAATGCCAATGTTAGCAGTGTTGCTGTATGAAGCCCTGCCCCTTTACATGGGGCAAGGCTTTGTACAGCAACACTGAGGATCCAGAATTGGAGGAAACACTAATGTTAGCAGTGTCCAAGCAACAACCTTTTTAAAGATTTCCTCAGTCAGTCTGTCTTGCCTAAAAAGTGTATCTCTCTGTTTTTTTTTTGTTTGTTTCTTTATTTTAAGCAAGAGACATGGCAAACAATGCTTTCAAAAAGGTGTCATCCGAACACCCCCTTAGATGGTATTACTCTCTAAAAATCTGTGATCTGAGGTTGGTGAGTTAGCCAGCATGGTAATTGCTATGTTAGCTGCTTGGCTCAGTGCTGCTGTATACACCTGTCACACCACTGCACCCAACCATGCAGTTATCTACAGTTTAGTGCTACAACTCATTGTGCATATAATAACTGTTTTTACAATTTATACCAAAATGGTGGAATTTTTTGGTGCCAATCTTCCGGTCCAGCCTGCGTCAGGCCTACTTTGCAAGGTGCAAACGTCTAGTGTGACTGTACTCACAAATCCTGCTTTTCTCAGGGAGATGGCTCAGTTGAGCACTGACTATTGCTAGCTATCTAGCTAAGGCTATACACTGCAGCATGAATACAAGCGATGCGCAAGCTGACCATTCAAAGTCAGCTCTAGTTCAGATAGTACACAACATACAGTTATTTTCACAGTTTCGCTTTGGAGTCTGGAAAAAATACAGTTCATACATTTACAGCAACAAGCAGAGTTCAATAAGTTAACACTTGTGTGACCATCATAAACTTTATAGCAATACGCAAGTAATCAGTCACTTGTTGAAATTACACAATACAACTAGTCCATAACTGTCACTGTGGTCCTAACATCTACTCCTGTTTTACAATAGAGCAAGATGAGTCTGATATAAATAAAACAAATGCAAGAAACACTTTACGTTTGTAAACCATCACAAACTTCAGTCAACAATGAATCTTACATTGACCGACAGTGTCAGTGCGCTAACTGTATTAAACAGCGTTAAATGATGTAAACAAACATTTGATGGCCTGTCATTAAATCTGTGAAATCATCAACATATCAGACCATAATAATTGATACTGTAAGCACTCATTTTTAAAGAACAAAATAATAATTGAAAAGAATGGTCAAACATGTCCACAGAGAGTTTAAGCCAACAGTAAAAAACAGAAATCAATAAATACAAATGAATTCAAATGAGAGCAGTACATACGCATGTAGCTTTGCTACAGTGTGCAGTTAGCCATCGTGAGCTGGCCTATGATTGTCTTCCAACAGTTTTGGGGATACAAATCAGTGTGCTGTAGGTGAGCTGAGATGTTGAGCTGATATCAGATCATACTCAATTCATATCCACATCAGACAATAACACTTTAGCTTCTAGAACCAAAATTTACTGGGTTTATATACTGACAGATATGAAGATGCAGCTAATAACTGTCAATACCAAAACCTTTAAACTTCACACATTATTGTCATCTATATGGAAACAAGATTATTATACTCCATATCTATATTGTACAAGGCTATATTTACCATATACACAGTTATACAGAGCTTTACATGTAACATTAACATCACATAAAGGGGCACTCCAGCCAGTGTTGAAAATGTAACCATTACCACATCTGTCGTAAACATGCTTACTCGCCTCCAACAGTGGTGCAGAGTAGTCTCCAGAGTGAGATTTTCCAGTTTAATGACTAGGATAATCCCCTTCTCATGATGTATCTGGAAGGTGGGAGGTACTACAAGGTCTTTGGGGTGGATAATTGAGGGCGGGCTGAATAACATGACTGTATTTATTTGCTTCTACATCAGTGGCTATGCTAGCAATCAAGATTTCTTCATCCCAGTGGTTCTAGACGTATTTGCGTAGTGCACGCTGGGTATTGTAGTGAGAGAACACTGATGAATGTAAACACAAAAAGAGTACAGTTATCAACTCTGTCAGACCAGTGAGGCTGAGTGATGCAATGCTGCAGTACAGAATAGTACATAAACTGACTCAAATAACATTAAAGTCTAGTTTTAGGCCAGAATGCCCCTTTAAGCAGCATGTATATTTAATTTATGTACAAATGATGCAAAGGGTGGAAATGAACTTCAAAGCAGAGTAAAATAAATCAGCATATTAACTAAATTATCTCAGACATTTCCTGAGATAATTTAATCCAGTCAGTAGAGTTGGCATATACAAACTTGTTACAACATAAAATGCAGTTTATTCAACATTTTCAACAAAATCACCTCCTTTATTGTTTTTTTTTGTTAGTGTATCATGTGCTTCATTTGCTATTCATTTACAATGTTAAAAAGACAGTGTGCTTGTCTGGGCAGTGTGCTTATTTACTATTAGGAATTCTGTGATGTGACTACACGTGGCACTTGTACATGTAGCATTAGACATTATCTGCAGTGTCCTTTTGAACCCTCTTCAGAGAACCTTTAACCTTTTGAGGGGAATTTCACAGAGTTTTTCAACATCTTCACTTATTAAATCAATGTAAACAAAGTCATTAAGAGGGGTTGTAGGTGAAATGATGCATTGTAGAGAAACCTTCTGATTTCTTTATAGTGGTATCGAACCCCAGTCTGCGTGACGTGAACAACAGAGCTGTTACCCACTATACTATGCCAACCACACATAATACAACACCCTTCATCCACCCCTCTGCCCCAACATTTTAAAAATGCATTTTAGGCCAAAGGCTTATCTCAAATTTTTTCAGTTCAAACAGTTCAGGCAATGCATTTGTAACCTTGTAGCTTCTCTGCTTTCTGTGAGATAGCTTTTAGAAGCCTTAAACCTTTCAGATGTCTGGTTCCTATCACCACCACTGTGAACAATTCTGACTCTGTAAATTTCGCAAAAAATGGAGCACACATCAGACCACTCTGAATGACTTTGTTCACATCTCAAGCATTTAATTGTGCAAAACTATATGAAAATCTGGTGGAATTCCCCTTTCTTTACACACAAACCGTGATTTATTTGTGCGATTTGATCAGGTGTCAATAAATTAATTTTGGGTTAATTGGGAGTTTTGTAAACTCATTTGACCAATCACTGTTGTTTCTGGTCTTGGCAATGCAAAAATCAAGATAACAGATCACAACTTTTCACAAACATTAAAACGATTAGTTTATCCTCTGCTTTGACACATGTGCTGCTAGCATCTCCAAAAGCAGCTCAGACTGGATTACACTTTTATCACTTTTAAATATTTTCCGCTTATATCGTGTTCAGTGTGTATTGGACTTCAGACATCTTAGTTATTGCTGGCAATAATAAAAGCATGTTGTCATTGTATGTAATTCTTTGTATTTATAAAGGGCAGATTCTGAACTTGGAACTCATACTACATTGTGTTTGTGAGTAGAAGAGGAGATTTTTAATTATGATTTGAATTTGATGAGAAGTTAATGAAATGCTTAGTCTATAGTTATAATTCAGTAGAGCAATGTTACATTTTCTTAAGCTAAAACTTGATTGGGCCTAAGCTGGACCCTGGAGGCACTCCCTTTGCCATTCATTGTCTTTGTGCTTAGATAGCTGAGATCACAGTTCTGATGGACAACCTTTCATGAAGTGCCAGACCTTCTGATGGAACATCTTACGGATTTGTTTTTGAGATCAACATTTCTGCATTTGTGCTTTTCAGCCATTAATCCACTGTTTTCTTTCCATCCCTCTGCAGCATTAGTCACTCTCCACAGTCCACCAGAATGTTTCTGATCGATACATTAGATATTTTAAGGTCTAGATTTCAGAGGATTTTCAGGTTGGCAACATGGGAAATATGACATTGCTGTTCACTGTGGTTTAGTGCTTTGTGCTTCACTGAAAACAGATGAAAGTGAATATAGATTCTACACAACAGGCTCCAAATGTGCTTTAAATACAAACTAAAAACCTGAAAAAAGAATTCCTGTATCCTGACAAACCCTCTCTGGACCCTGCCTCGCTAAATTTCAGCGCAACTCAATTATGTTAGCTGACCTTCAGTAGCTTTTTTCTCCGCACACAGCCTCTGGCCATTCATTTTAGCAGGGTGATTTCAAACCATTGCATTATAACACCATAAATCTTATATTACAGAGACTGATCTATTAAAAAAAAAAGCTTCAACACCAGCAAACCTTTAGGCTGGTCTAATCTGGAAAGTCAAACAAATCCTGTTGTTTTTGGATTCAGCCACAGCAGTCCATGCCAAGCAAATCACACATTAATCTTAACTGATCCCCACATTATAGCCCATTAAGAATCAGATTTAGAGAGATTTGTTTTCTCTTGTAATGAAATATGTAGTAACAAAATGGCATATTAGGCAAAAGCACAACACTTGCTCTTCTTATTCCTTGGAGAAGACTTTGTAAAACAAGTAATCCAGTTATTTGCTGGTTCTGTCCATATACATTTTTAAGTAAGTAAAATCCTATGGCAACACGTCCCTCTGCTATTCTCTAGAAACCACCCACTGGACTGAATGAGGAACAGAGGTGCTCGAGTTCAACTTAAGTTAGCTAATTCTGCTGACCTGCATTTAAATATTTTAATGCAAATTTATTTCCTGTCTGGTTTGTTTAACTTCTTCTCTTTGCCCTTTAAAGCCAACACTATATTTTCACGACTCCTAGCAAAATGGCATTTTGTAATGAATGCAGGGAGTCTTGGGCTATTTTAGCCATTTTTAAATACTTTTGATTTTGCCTTTATATACCACATTAAAAAATGTTTACTATGCCAATGTTTTGTATCTTTTTTTTTTCACTTTGACTACTTTATCAATATTGGACCCAAAATCACACAAAACATATAAAATCGGATTTGAAAAATGTCAGTAGATTCTGACATTTGTTTGTTTCTTAATATGAAAAAAGGGCAAAGATATTAAGATATATAATATGTTTTTCATATCAAATTTATATGATCCCAGCTCAATTTTTTTTTGGCAAATCAACATCAAACAAAAACTAGCACAGCGTTTCAAGCCAGCACTTTCAATGTTGATGGCAATAAGGCTTTTTATGCTGTGACGTCTTAAACCAGCCACGTGATTGGATCACAGCGGCGTGATTGGCAAAGAGTTAGGAAAAAAGTTTTTAAAATATGTTTAAATGTAGGCAACACCTAGGCTAGGCTAGCAAGTTAGGTTGAATTGTATTGATCTGACTCTCAGTAAAAATATTTGAAAGTTACTGCTTGTGATGAACCACAGAAAAATGGATTGATAAATGTAGTAACACTTTACTTAAACCCTGCTACATAACCATGCCATCAACATCATGGCAGATATCATAACAGATTATATTCAGTAATGAAGCAGTTTCATGTTACCATTACTGGTAATTGTCACGATAGATGTGATGTCTTGATGTTGTGACAGTTTATGTCACATACAAAATCTGACTAGTTATACTCTAATTAGCCCAAGAGGAGAAAATACAATGGGATTGTGTGATGGGCAGAGTCCCAGCTAGTGGGATAACTGAGTAAAAAATTTAATTCTATATTGTTTACCTAACTGATATGCAGAACTAGAAATGAGAGACTGAGCTAAGAAGTTTGAGAAGGGTGAACTCTGATGTCCTCAAGCTGAGTTTACTCAAGAAAAACAGTGTAATCAGTTACCTTACAATTTTAAGTTGGGCTGACTTATTTCTTACAGTGCTGCAGTGTAGCTTCTCCCTATGCTAACACAGATATGGTAGGAATGCTAAATGACACCATTTACATGCATTGCAGGTATGGTGTATACAATTGGTCCCCGATCTCCATATCTTGTCTGTATCTCAGCAGTTTTGGGACTCTCCTGTCTACTTGCTGACTTAGTCCTCTTGTTTTGAGGTACGTATTGGTCCCTTGACTGCCATGTTCACTCTAACAATGGACCCTGCATGAACCTGGGCAAGAGTCCATGAAGCTTCTTATGTGCTTTATCGTTGGAGCCATCTAGGGTTTCAGGTATCAAGGGCTAGTTTTGTAACTCTGCAAATCCTGGCTGCTTAACCTTATCTGTCAGTGAATATTTGTAACGAATTTTAATTTGGTTTGGGGTCGACAGGGCTTTGTTAGTTGGAAAACAGGGAAGAAGGATTTTAGGGAGGGGTGATGTGCTGAGGTTAGAAACAGCAAGACACCCATATGACCACAACTGGAAGAACACAGTGTCCTGCAGCTGAGTGGAGCAAATTAATGGATTTTAGAAAAACCTGACAGAACGTTGATGGAGAAGAGCCTCGAAGAATCTCAAGAATATATCAATATCACACCAGACAAAAAAAAATATAAAGAAAAAAGTTTGCCTTTGCCAAGGCCTTTATCCAGTGACCTTATTCTGAGCTTCCATAGCTTCTCCTTCTGCTTCTGTTGAGGTGCTCCTGGCTGATAGATTGAGTTTGAAGATCAGGTGAAGCATGTGATGATTAGTCTCAGAACAGCTGCTCAGATGAAGAAGACCGTTGGGACCCTTCGCTCTTGGATCTGATTGTATGCAAATGAGTGTGTGCTTGTGTGTGTTGGAGGTGGAGGTGTGAGAGAATGAGGGTGATGATCATTACAGCATGGGTACCCACTTCTCCTACATCTTCTCAATCATGCTTACTCAAAACGTTCGTAGTTCCTGGTTTGCCGTACTCGTGGTACCATGTCAATTAACAACCTGTGGCAAAAAGTAACAATGGTATTCAGTTATGGTATTAACTTAGAGTAGTATTGTCCATTAGTTAAAAAATGCAAGATATTCTTTATTTAGCCCTGAAATCAAAGAAATAGAAATCAATAAAAATATCATTTATACACTTTTGTCCTTGCACCAAAATGTAGTTCATCAAACGTTTGCATGTTTTCCCTCAAAGTTCGATACATTTGGCCGACCCCAGTTTTCAAGCCTGGGAGAGGTCAAGAAAAACGATCCCTGGTTCTTCTAAGAATGGTAGGTTGTGGTTCCTGTTAGGCGATCCAGTCCACAGAGTATGTAAAAGCTATAGGCACTATGAATTGAGTAATGTGATTGGTTCTTTTGTACGTCACTCTCTGTTTTAGTGTCCCGATCTATTTGCAATGCTTATCTCCATAGAAAAGCACCGTCAATAGAATTGGACATTCTGGAGCAGCCGCACGTTAGCCTAAGGTCACCATGCTGATTAGAGGGGCCAGCATTTGGCTGTGGAGCAGTGGAACTGCATTATCTGGAGTGATGGAGCTCCATCCAGTACCTTTTTGATGAGTTGGAGTGATCCAGAACTGATCATCCAACATCAGTACCTGAACTCACTAATGCTTTTGTGGCTGAATGCAATTAAATTACAGCAGTATTGGCTGTTACTGCAACAAGGAGGGGGCAAACTTCCTATAAATACCCTTGATTTCAGAAGAAACATTGGATGAGCTAGTGTCTACAAACTGCTGTACATGCAGTGTAGCTATGAAAATGGCCAAAAGTACATTGCATAGCCAAAACCAGTACTAAGAGCCTCTATATTGTCCACACTTTAGTTCAAATTAGATTTTTCGCAGAACTATTCTTTTAAAACAAAGAACAAAATGATCTACTGAATGTTTATAAGGCAAAAATTAATACAGATACTAGATGCACTTACTTTATTCCATAAGCTAGGATGATGAGCCCAATCAGAACGCCAACGGTGCCGTCCAAAAACCAGACAGCAGGGTGATGCCGAAAGACTTCTGCACTGATGAGGATGGAGAAACCCATAATCCCTCCAACCATGGAGTTAAAACCTGTAGAAAGAGAGCAAAACTGTTGGTCATTTGTCACTAGCCTCAAACTTGGCTCTGCCTTTGCAACTACACCTTGGCTCCTCCTACTTATTCTAACCTGAGGATTGTGACCTGTGACTAGCTTAGTTGTTTTGTACAAATAGCTCTTGGTTTGGAATTTGTCTTTGCACAGCTGCTGTGTCGTTCTTCGATTTTCTGCCTGAGAAAATTGAGTTGACTTCATTAAGAGGTAACAACCTGGATTTCCAATAGCATTCAAAGAAGCACATTTCCATTCATGCTTCCATTCAACAGAATGGATTAAATGTATTTCTCTAAAACAAGTTCACAGTGCCAAAGCCTCGTACAAACTGGCTTAATGCAAAAATATGAATGACGGAACCTGGCAATTCACGTATTCTGTTTTCTTTTTCATAGCATGTTACATTTAATCAAATTTGCTACAGCGACATCTTTGGCTTTAATGTTCTTGCTGTTTTGGTACGAGGATAATGCACTTCACGCCTCAAAGAAGGTCAGAAACAGCAAGACTCTCCTGGCGTGCTTTGATGCTCTTTCTGTCACTTGTTGAAGAGCCTTTTATCTTTCAGCACACACAGATTTGTTATTGTGTCCTTAATGTTTGCCAAGTTCGTCGATGTCCTTCAGGAAAATGTGCAAATGCATGAGTGCAAACTTTGATCATTACCACATTGAAGATTTAGCTCATCATAGCCTCAGTTAGGACCATAGAATATATGAGGTCCGTTACTGCAAAGTCTGTCGAATGTTATTAATTACATTATTTTCATAGGTTTCCTATACAATAATATTGAGTAATAAAAAATGCTTACATTTGGATGTAACTGGCAGACTTTTGCCTGTCGTTTGCTTTATAGTGTTTGATTTTCATGTGTTATCCACTTACTTTTGGAGAAATTCATCTATATTCACATGACACCATATATGCATAACAACATTGGGAGCTGTGAAGGGCCTGCCTCCTGACCTGAAAAAAAACTAATATATATATATATATATATATATATATATATACAATGCTATATTGTATTATATGATATTATATTATATTATGTTATATTGTATTATATTATATTATATTTTGACAACGTATTCAGGGAATGTTCCAACATAAATGTTCAAAAATTGCTAAATATGAGGTATATTATTTTTTTCATTATCATAATTATTTTTGTGTTAATACATTTTTCCGTCCTTGTTCACTGCTTTTATTTCTTGTTGTCTTATTCTGAAGTTTCTTCTTTGCTCTACAATTTTTGAATGAAAGGTGCTATAGAAATAAAGTAAATTCTTATTATTATTTATGTATAAGTACTGTATGGCCTGACATGCCCATGAAGGACTTATAGCCTATTAAGATTGCAGACTAGATTGAAGAGTGTCTGCAGTCTTGCAGTCTTGAAAATTTCCTTGGCAATTATCTTATTATGAGGACGTCTCACCCTTTCTGCCTCATATCGCTGACTGTTATGATTCTGTTTGGCCATTACGATTCGAGCCTTGGCTAGATGGACCTGAACCTAAACAAGTTACCTGCTCATTCCCAGAACTAAATAACTTCCACTGATCTTGAGGGAAGTAATTTGCAGGTCTAAGAAAAGAAGCTGGGACTGATTGGAGCGTTGTTCTTGGTGTGTGTGTGGAGCTCAGGGGCTGTGACGCAGCCTGGTGTGCACTGATTACTTGCGCCAAAGGGAGAACATGAGTAGAGATGATGCATGCTGCTCATAAAACCTGGGTGCAGTACCTACTGCCATCATTAGCTTGCAGCAGCTGCTCTGTGTGTGTGTGTATGTATATGTGTGTGTTGGTGTGTGTGTACATACCATCAGTGATTAGGGCTCTGCTCGTCAGCACTCTCCCCAGCATGAACTTAACAACAGCCAGGACGACACACGTGAGCCCGCTCACAATAGATACACTGAAGAGGAAGTCATCCTAAAATAAAAATGACAAAAATTAACACCGTATGTAGATGGTGACTCACTTCCATTTACTCATTTAATAAATGTACTAAATGGCTAGTCTTAAATTACTTCCTGTTTGCATGTTATTAGCGTCACTGCATCTTGATTAGTCCACAGTCCATCACAGCCCTTAAAAATCTCCATGTCTACCACCTCGCACTCATTTCTGGCTTAAATCACACTCGCTTCCGGTTTGTTACTTTAAAGAAAGTATTGAATAAAGTATTTTTCAGGAATCGGTGTTGTAGTAAAGCCCTAGTTAAGTATGATTATGTGTAATTAGTGATTGCACATTGCATAGCAACACTACTGTTATTCAACTGTATATTCTTCTTCTTATTATTATCATTATTATTATTTTTCTGCAGGATATTTGTCCGCTAACTCATCCAGCAGTTTTCCAACACTGTTCAAACTCCGGAATGTTTGGTCTGATTGGGAATGGTGTGCTTGCATACAGCTTTTTGATCGGACGTAAGGATACTGTACAGTTCTTCCCAATTTTTCCCATTTTAATGAATGGGGTGAAAAGGTTTGTGCACCCAACTTATGTCATGTTGAGTCCATTAGTCCATTAGTAACACACTATTACCCATGCAGGAAACCATAGCAACCACCTGGTAACGCTTCCGCAACCTCCTGGGATAGCATAGCATTGGCTTATCAACACCTTTGCAACTAAAATATAACATAGCACCCGTACAGCAGCACCCAAGCAACCTCCTAGCAACTGCTTAAGCAACACAATCACTCTTGCTGTTACTAATGATTCTAAATACACCGATCAGGCATAACATTATGACCACCTCCTTGTTTCTATGCTCATTGTCCATTTTATCAGCTCCACTTACTATATAGGTGCACTTTGTAGTTCTACAATTACAGACTGTAGTCCATCTGTTTATCTGCATACTTTGTTAGTCCCCTTTTACCCTCTCCTTCAGTGGTCAGGACCCCCATGGACCCTCACAGAGTAGGTACTATTTGGGTGGTGGATCATTCTCAGCACTGCAGTAACACTGATGTGGTGGTGGTGTGTTAGTGTGTGTTGTGCTGGTACGAGTGCATCAGACACAGCAGTGCTGCTGGAGTTATAAAACACTATGTCCACTCACTGTCCACTCTATTAGACACTCCTACCTTGTCGGTCCACCTTGTAGATGTAAAGTCAGAGACGATAGCTCATCTGCTGCTGCACAGTTTGTGTTGGTCATCCTCTAGTCCTTCATCAGTGGTCACAGGACGCTGCACACAGGATGCTGTTGGCTGGATATTTTTGGTTGGTGGACGATTCTCAGTCCAGCAGTGACACTGAGGTGTTTAAAAACTCCAGCAGCACTGCTGTGTCTGATCCACTCAGACCAGCGCAACACACACTAACACACCACCACTACATCAGTGTTACTGCAGTGCTGAGAATGATCCACCACCCAAATAGTACCTACTCTGTGAGAGTCCAAGGGGGTCCTGACCACTGAAGAACAGAGTAAAAGGGGGCTAACAAAGTATGCAGAGGACAGATGGACTACAGTCTGTAATTGTAGAACTACAAAGTGCACCTATATAGTAAGTGAAGCTGATAAAATGGACAATGAACATAGAAACAAGGAGGTGGTCATAATGTTATGCCTGATCGGTGTAAATCGTTGCTGTTGGAAGAAAACCTTGTATCTCCATTTTTCAGTTTTTGACATAATTTGAAATTGCCCATTGCTGTTTACATTGTATGGTAATTTCATGAAGAAGGACCAAAAGAAACGGCCCAAAATGACTTGGAAAAAAGTCTGGTTCCATTGACTTACATTATAAGTAAAGTAGGTTTTTTCCGTCTCCTGTAAAGTTACCATTTTGGAGATAGGAGATTTTCTTCCGACAACAGCGAAATATACTTATAAAGGGTTTGCTTAGTAGCTAATGTGAGGAGTCAGGTGTGTGAGAGCAGGGGAAAATTCTGCTCTGCAGGAGTGCAGAGAGAGAAGGAACAGAAGGTAAGGCTCCTGCAGCCTTGCAGTCTAAAATAACTGTTTACTCACAGGGTCAGGGGGTCAGGGTCACTGGAACACACTATGTCTTAAGTTTTGGTGAGTTTGCTTGTTTGGTTGTTTGTTTTTTACATTGCCTGGTACCATTTTACCCAAGGATGACCTGTAAAATCTATATTATGGCAAAGTCATACTGACCATGAGCAGTAAAGCCTATATAATAGTCCTGCCTTAGTACTTATAACCAGTTAAATGTATATGGTGACCATTACTTAGCCTGTAACTCATACAATAAAGTCCTAATCTGAAGCAAGAGTGGAGCTTCATTTTCTCCTCTCTCTCAAAGATGAAAGCTTTTGGTGCTGTTTATCTGATGGGGGCAGTTTTGGTGTCTACCAGGAGTCTCATTTTCTCTGTAGCTTTTAATCACTTTCTCCTTCCTTATGCAAGTGGATTATCTGATATCTAATCTCTTCAGAAACATCTCCTGATATTAAGGGTGGTCTCTGTCTTTTGCAAAATACAGTATGTAATGGTAAAGTTTTAGTGATGATGACTATTACTAAGTGATTGCAGAGATTATAATAGCACAGTCTTACAGTCAATATAATAATAGTCTATATCATTTATACTTTGTATAAATTAGTCTGTATTATGTCAAAAATATAAAAGAGAAAATATAAAAGAATCCTAACAAAAAAAGTAGCGGCTTGTTTGTCCTCCACCTTTTCAGTGAACACAGTCCTTTTATCCCAGTCGAAACCTCAGTGCCTATTCAAACGCCAGCCTCTGAGGGAGGAAACAGAGCTGTTTTTCGTTCCTCTCAGGGCTCGAACGAGTGCGTCTGTCTCCCTCCTACACAACAGCTGAGAAACCAATTTCACTCCTCCTACATTTTTAATCATGACAGACCGGCACTGGGTACTTCCCAAGCTTAGGTCTTTTCTCGCCACCTTTATGACTTGGGCTAGTGGCTGAGAAAGCTAATTTCATTAAGTTCGACACAGGCTCAGGCAGCCAGGTGTGCTTGTCTCCGCAGACTTGTGCCTCAGCCAGCTAAACCCTCCAATCTGATGAATCATCTTGGATAGCAGATCAATAGGGACACCTCAAAGCGATGTTTTGGCCAATAATCAATTTTGCACATTTCCCTTTACCCATAATGTAATTTATCAGCCAAAACATGTTGTTTGAAGTTTGCTTCTTCAGTTTTGCACTGGAGCTATGAGGCTAATGTAGCTAACAAGTAATGGAAGCTTATATCCCACCAATTAGCATTGTTAATTCAAATCATCACACACTGGCTTCAAATATATCAAGTTGATAAAAAATCTTAAATAGACTTGCTTTGTCCATTTTTATAAATATTAGTATAAAAACAACAGCAAATCTACATGAGATTTCTTGACAACCCATCATATTTTGCAGTAAGCAGGTGATGATTGAGGCATGCAGATTGCTAATTAATGATGCTAATTGGTGGGGTATAAGTTTCCATTACTTGTAAGCTACATTACATACTGTTTTGCTTAGTTTTCTTTGGTTTTGCACATACTGTTATGTATAAAAATGGACAAAAGTGTGGACAACATTCAGGCTTCAACAGAGCTGCTGCTGTTTTCATCAATGCAATGTGCTTTTGTCTGATTTATCTATTGCTATCTTTTATCTAAAAATGCTAACATGCTCTTTAAGGGTCTGTGATGTTTTGCAGTGGACAGATGTTTTATATGGACCGAGTGATTCAATTGGCTATAATGCTGGTTGCTTGCGAGAGAGGAGTTCAGACTAATCAAGTGGAAATGGTTACAGACATTCTGCTCGACACTCAATCAGACTGAAGAGCCTGGACAGAGTGTGTAAGTGTGGCTTAACGGGAGATTTCAATCCTTCTTTAAAGCCCTGGTCAGGTTGTGAGTCACAGCATTGTTACTGCGGCAGCCTTTGAATGACAATGACTCTCGAGTTACTACTGTGCAGAATGTGGGGATCACCTTTTAGACAGAACTATACAATGAAAAGGCTGCTGCTACTTCTGTTATAGTGCTAGAAGATACTTCTGTTACAGTGCTAGAAGATATAAAAACGCTCTACAGGCTAGAGTTTTTAACTTTCATATTCTACGTTTTCATGCAGGTGCATAAATATATTTATACAAACATATATTATTGAAATTGAAATATGACTGCATGGCCTTATCTTGCACATGGTCATTCCTGTTTTTTGCATATGCTGAGCATGTGTCGCTTCGTATCTGATCACATGTTTATGCCATAAGTCTTGGTCATGGAAACCCTCTTTATTTTTGCCTTCATTAGTTTTTTTCTTCGGTAATAGTTATATTGTGGTTGTGTTTGCAGGATGCCATCCAAGCATGTCTCTGTGACTTAATGCTCCATATTTTTCACAGTATGTTTTTGGTCATCATGGCATGTTATTCGCTCCTCAGGCAGGCATGTTCATGTAAGTTCGTGTTCATGTGAAACAGCAGGCCCAAAGTTTTATTACACACTTCTATAACCTAAGAATAGCTCAAAAAGTTTGCATTAAAGTCTCTGTAGTTGCTGAATAATGTCTTAGTATGTAATAAGCCTGGGATTTTAATCTAATGTCCTACAAATTCCTATCTCTACCCTTTGCATCCTGTAACAAAGTTTTCTCAGTCCCCACCACCCCATCTCCTCCCTGTTCCTCAGTCCTACCACAGTTAGAAGGGGGTTTCTGGCCTTCCAGCTCCAAACAGAAGCTGCCCAGAACTCTACTCCCTGTTCTCAGAGTTCTCTCCCCTCTGTCAATCTACCACCATAATTTGAAGGTGAAGTCTGAACTCGCAAAGAACTTGCTGGTGGCCGGTGCTACTATGGGCTTCCAAGACAGTAGAAGAAGAACACTGCAGTAAAGCAAAGCAATCCTAAATGGTGTACCATGCTCTGCTAGCTAGCTAGCAGATGCTTAAGATGAGCATCTAAAAGTAGTCTATGATGCTAATACTGGCCTGATACCTGGTATCAAATTGATGCTGTTTCTACTGCTATGATTCCATTGTCTTTTTCCATTTTTTTGGCACTGTACATTTAACCCCTTAAATGGCCAGGGCCCACCGGCAGGCCCAAAGCTTTATTACACACTTCTATAACCTAAGAATAGCTCAGCAAGATTGCACTGAAGTCCCTGTAGATACTGAAGAATAAGCCTTCATAAAATAGGCGTGGGATTTTAAGGGGTACTTGATTTTGTAGGATGCTGTTTTGTTCTGTCTATTTTCACAATGATGCACTTGTAAAAGTACACTTGTAATCCTTCCTACTGATAAACTGGTTTATGTTTCTACATCTAAGTATACATGGACCCACGGCACTGAACATTTTGTATCCCTGTCAAGTAAGCAGCACCCTACGGATCATACAGTCCGTAACTTTTTATTATTCTTAAATTCTTGAACATGCCAGTTGCCCTTTACATTATGTGAATATATAATGATAAATGGACCAATAGAAAAGGTGCAAATTACTTAGAATAAAAACTTGATGTATATTAAAGAACATTTTTTTCCAACTCTAATAAAGTCAGATTTTGCAGTTTGTTACAACGCTGCAGTACTGCACACCTACGATCTCACACAAATAAATCACACCTAAAGAATCAGAATTAATCATCCTAGGACTGGAGATGGATTACGGGGATCCATGTTGGAATAATGACCGGCTGAGAACAGCACCTGTCTCAGCTACATGGGAATCCATCGCTAACTGTCATGAGAAGGCTGCAGATTGCAGGACCTCATTAGCATTTCGTAGGCCAAGGAGATGTGAGAAAAATGTGCAAGCTCCAGACATGTTCCCAAGTTAGAGAAATGAAAAAGAATGAAAATATTGTCGTTATATTTAGAGCATTTCTGAATGAACCGAATGCAGGAGAAAAACGTCCTGATGTTGCCTTTCGTTTAAGATGAATGTATGCATGGAAAACAAAAACTTAAATTAGGACAGTGGCCCCAAACGTCACTGCAGCTGCCTCCTTCTCCTGTTTTTTGCCAATTTAGTTTATTTTTCTCTCTATTTCTTTCTTTCTCTTGCTTTTTCTCCTCACTGTTTTTTCTTTGTTTCTTTTGTTTTTCTCCTAACTTGAACAGAGGACGAGGCTTGAATCAGAAGCCTGGAGCCGTGCTGTGGTCGCTAATTGGACGTCTTTAGGCCAGAATGGGGAAAAAAACATACAGCAGCTGGTCTTCAGTTGCCTAGCCACAGTGCAGCTAAGCCAGTCCTGATAAAACTGATGTGTGGTTTAGCTGACGGCAATTACGGGGCAGTGCAAACTAATGGTTACCAAGGGTTACCAAGGAGAGCTGTGCCTTGAAAGACAAATGATTTACCTCATTTATGTTACTACTAGAATGAAATGATAGTGTTTGCTTTTTTAAGCACACATTACAAGGCAAAATATCGAAACAAGTTGTGTTTTATTACGTTTTACAAACTTTTTTCAGTTGTCAATTTGCCAACAACTAACATGTGTATTTACATCTAACCAAAGAGGGTTATTCCAGATTATACCACAATTAGTTCCAACCTTGCAATGCGATTAGCTGAGAGGCATTCATATCTCCCGATAATGGCATTCCAACTGAATCACTTAAACCGAATCAGTCCTGGCTCAAACACGCACATCTGAGGCTCATAACAGGCATACAAGTCACCTGTTCTTTATTCTGTATGCAGTTTTACTGTGTCTGGATTTGAAGACTATTTCTCAATGTTATTGAAGCAGCCTGTTAGCCTATTAGCTATCTGCTGACCTCATCTAGTGAGGGCAGAATATAGAACTGTTATAGAGAATATAAAGTGTAAACATGAATTTTAGTATTTAGAATATTGAGCATTTGTTTAATCAATACAAAGTGTCATTACAGCTAATATATAAAATTTGAGACTGGAGTTCATCTTTAAGCCGTTAATGATCAGCCTGCACTTCTGTTTTCTCCAAATGGACTGAGGGTTGTCATGCTCACAAATGACGATCTAGATATGCTGGAAAGCCAAAATTGAATAATAAATATCAATAATAAATATGGGGTATTATTGTAACATTACACTCAAAGTCATGTTGGCACTCCTGTGCTGATTTACCCGGCCTTCAGCCTCGTGCCTATGACCACAGCACTCCAGTGCCAATATCTCAGCATATAGCACCCCCTGTGTTGTATTACTACACAAATATTCTGTTGGTTGTTAGTGTTGTACTCTGACCAGAGATTTTAATAATTAACCCAAAAATCACTCACCAACAAACACACACATATTCGACCAATGATTTCGGTTAAAAAAATATTTCCGATAATAATTATAATATGAATGTGTGGCTTTTTCAGTAAACTCAAGAATTGTTTTTAAATTATGCACATGAGAGCACAAGAGCACAATTTGTCCCCGACTGAGTTATTCACAAGTGGTGTTCTGGAGTTGACTCTGACTCCTTGACTCATTGACTCCTCAACTCCGCTTCTGCATTTTATCCGGTATCTCCAGAGCCGTTGATAAAGAGATACACAATGTTTTGAGCAGCTACAGATCACAGTGATATGATGAAAACCAATGCTTTAAGTTGGTTTGGTATTTCTCAACAAAAATGACTAGGATATTTAGCCGTGTGACACGGTGCTAAGATCGGCCACGCCTGACTCTTTTTAAACGTCATGTTTAGTGTAGCCTTAAGCTACAGCCTACAAATGTGTTGGTCAGCCTACAGTCAGCCTATGTAAAGTTAGCCTATACCTAAAGCCTTGTTTATATAAAACTCATTGCTGTGTGTGATGTTTTTATGGGTCATGTTTGTGGTTTTAGGTTTTTAATTCTTTACAATCTCCTAATGTAACATTCAGTTTATCAACCCTCCAGGGGCATCTGAACAGGAGAATCAGGTGGCTCTGATTTGAGAAGCAATAAAGCTCTGCAGGAGAATCAACAGGAGCTAAACTCATTAAGAGTCTGTGCATACATTTCTGCTGCAGATATTAAGGGAAACCTTTTTGTTCTTCATTACTGTTTGTTGTCTCTTGAAAACAAAAGAAAAATGATGTTCATTTTTACAAATCAGCAGACTTTTGGCCTGCAGTGTATGTAACTGTGTTATTTTACTCATTTGAAATTGAAACACATAAATATTAACTAAATATATAAAACCAATGCCTATGTCTTCTAGTAAACTTAATCAAAGGCCCCTAAGAATTACTGCACATTACCACTCATTGAAAACCAGAGCCATGCAGATATGACACTAATATTCACTTACCACTTCAGGCAGGAGCTTAGTGGCCAGGTCATGGATGGCTTTTCCCAGGATACACATGGAGGACAAAAGAAACACTACCCCCAATATCACACAGGCTCTGAGAAAGAGAACAAAAATGGAAGAATTAAAATGAAACAGAGGTTAACTGTTAATACAAGCTGTGAAAGTTACTGCCTAATTATTTTACTTAATTATTTTAGTGTTAAAGCTTTAAAATAACAGTAACTGTTGTAAACACACAATATGTTCCAGTATATGAATGATTCTGGACTATTCTGGACATGTTTTGCAGCTAAAGAGTACAGAAAGTGTAAAACCATAGTAAACTTTATAGATGTGCAAAATGTAAATAAAAACTGAATGCACTGATGTGCAAATCATTTAAACTATATATTTAATTGAAAATAGTACAAAGACATATTAATTGTTAAATCTGAAAAATGTTATTGTTTTTCGAAAAACCATTTTAAATTTGACTCCAGCAACATGTTGTACAAGTTGTGTAATGCTAAAAAAACTCCTGGTGGAACATCTCACAACTAATTAGGTTAATTGGCAACAGGTCAGATGTGGAGGGTTCAAGGGACAAACTTAAAAAACAATATTGGCTGGCCGTAATCTTCGGTTCTCAGTTGGCACTGCATTAAAAACCGACACAATTCTGTAGTGGAAATCACTGCATGGGCTAAAAAACACTTCTGGAAAACAATGTTTGTGTACACCGTTCATTGCTTCATCCAGAAATTTCTTTCTCTGGGCCCGAACGGCGTATGAAAATTTGAAAATCTGTTTGGAAATCATGGACGCCATGTCCTCCGGGCTAAAGACCATTATTGTTATTTGGCTTGTTATCAGTGCATAGTTCAAAAGCCAGTATTCATGATGGTATGAGGATGCATTAGTGCACATAGCATGGGTGACTTGCACAACTGTGAAGGCACCATTAATGCTGAATGATAAATACAGGTTTTGGAGGAACATATGCTGCCATCCAGATGACGTCTTCTTCTAGGAAGGCCTTGCTTATTTCAGTAAGACAATGCCAAACCACATTCTGCATGTATTACAACAGCATGCCTCCACAGTAAAAGAGACCAGATGCTATACTGGCCTGCCTGCAGTGCAGACCTGTCACCCACTGAAAACATTTGGCCCATTATGAAACGAAAAATATCACAAAGGAGACCCTGAACTGTTAAGCAGCTGAAATTCTATATCAAGCCAGACTGAGAAAACATTTCAATTTCAAAACTACAGTTGGTCTCCTCAGTTCTCAGTTCTGTTGTTAAAAGAAGAGGTGATGCAACACAGTGGAAAACATGCCCCTGTGCCAACTTTTTTGGAACGTGTTTTTGGCATCAATTTAAAAATAGCCACATATTTTTCAAAAAACAATAAAAATTTCTCAGTTTCAACATTTGATATGTTGTCTTTGTACTATTTTCAATTAAATTTAGGGTTTAAATGATTTTCACATATTTGCATTCTGTTTTTATTTACATTTTGGACAGCATCCCAGCCTGTTGTATTTACATATGAAAATAAATGCAACAGTGTTGAGAAACCACATTATTAAAGGAGAAGAGCAGATTAAACAACAAAAAGGCCACTTTTTTGTCCTTTTAAATGTCCATTACTCTGCTGAAGCTGTCCTTTCTCTTAACTTCTTTGCTGAAATTCTTTGATTAACATCTGAAGTCCTTGTGTACAGCCAATCCTGCTAAGAATAAGTGATCAAAAAAAGCACTGTTCCTGGCTGTGACAGGTAGCCCCTAAGCACCAACAGTTTACCACTTGGGACTGAGCTCAGCATTGCTTTCTCCTTCATTACATCTCCATTAATCTCTCACTCTGACACATCCGCAAGAGCAATGAAACCATCTCCATCGCTTAGTGCTCTACAAGCCTCTACAGGCCAAAAGATGAATGAGGAACTCGAATGGGAGGCTTTATCAAAGCACTGGTATTGAACAAAAGCTAGGAGAACAAGATGAATAGGATAAGTGATGAACCTAGATAATAAAGATTGGCTGGAGGTCTTTATTAAGAGGATGAAATCTGTTAATCTGAGGAGATTAGATATAAAATAATACACTCAAATAAGGAAGGGAAAAGTCAAAGGAAGATAAGTGAAAAAGTGGTCAGTTTTCTAGAAAATATTACAAATCTTCCTATATATTTAGCTCTTTTTTTTGCAACCCATTCTTTTGCTTTAGCTTAAAGCTTTGTACTTACATGTATTCTCTGTGGGCAGAATGCACAGCTGCTGCGTTGCTGTAGCGCCAGAGCACTATGATGGATGAGAGCACATCTAACGTAGCATCGAACTGAAAGGAAAACAGGCAGCCATTTGTAAAAGCAGTACAGTTTCCAGTCATATGTAAAGCAACATGGAGAACTTAAAATATAAAATCCCCTCCAAAGTGTATCTGTTTATGAGGACATGAGACGCAGAATAAATATAGAATTATTTCACATGAGGGCCTTGGCATCCACACTTGCTTATCCAGTGTTTCTTCTGAAGTGAATGGCATTAATAGAGAGCTTGTCCCTCTTTTCCGCAGTAGCAGTCTCTACCCTTCTGAGAAGGCTTTACACTAGATGTTTTAACTGTGCTGTGAGGATTTGATTGCATTCAGCCACAAGAGCATTAACGAGCTCAGGTACTGATGTTGGATGATCAGTTCTGGATCACTCCAGCTCATCCTAAAGGTACTGAATGGAGCTCCATCACTCCAGAGAAGTGATGCACGCGGTTTCACTGCTCCACAGACTAATGCTGGGGGGCTTTATGCCCCTCTAGCCTATGCTTGGCATTTGGCATGACGACTTTTGCAGCTCCCCCAGAGCATGCCTGCATCAGCAATGCATGCACCTCAAAGTACTGAGAGTACTAAAGTACTTAGAAGGGGATATTTTTGGACATATAGTGTTTGTATTGCAGCATTGCACTAAAATTTAGTCTTTTAATATTTATATGATTCTATTAACATTGCTTAAATATAGGTTATTAGCTATTGAATGCCATTGGGTTCTATGAGTGATGAAGTCATTAGGTAGATGAAACATAAATATTGCTACATAGCTTAGCTTGCTTAATGTGTTTGCAATCTCGTGACTGGGGTTTGATCCCCCGCCTGGATGAGCACAATAGCACTATACCAAAACAGTCCTTGGGCAAAACTCCTAATGCTACCTTTGCTTACCTGAGTAAAAATGATCACACTATAAGTTATTTTCATTTTGGATCATTTCAATTGGTCCAGTCAAAGGACAGCTAGCGTTTTCAAATTATGTCAAAAAATGAAATAGAACAAAAATGGAGATACTAGGTTTTGTTCTGAAAGCAGTGATATGTAAGTTACCCTTGTGGAAAGCAGCCTGTATTGCTAGAGTAATATAATAATAACATTTACTAACAATAATAACATTTTTGTGAACTTAACCAGTTGCTCTTTAGTTAAATATGGGGAATAAATCTTAAGGATTATGAGCTATTAGTACTGATTATCTCTCCTTTTGATTTTTATAATAAGCGTCTTAAAAGGACTTAATTGATAATGTTATGTCATGTAATACTTAATACTTACATCAAAGAGGTTAACAAACTCATGTTCTGATGTTAAAAAACTTGACCCAATTTATCCATTTACCCCTTTTAGACCATGTCCTTTGAAAATGTTTAACACAGACTGAAGATTTATCTCATTAAACTCTTTTATTAGAACCCTCACCAATTCTATGAACCCCTGCCTGAGGCTGTGAAAAAAATTCATTACACTTTGGCAGTAAAGAGTCCAATCTGAGTGCTGTAATTCAGGGGGCTGAATCATTACAACCTCCATCCACATTATCACTCATTATTCAGAACTGCTTAATGAACATTAATGAAGACTTTACTTACAGCAAATCCGAAGGCGGATGCGCTGTGCCTCATGAAGGATACAGCTAGGCAGGAAGGAAAAATAAAGAGACAATTAATGGATAAAGAAATAAGCTCCCTCTAGCAATTAATAAATAAACACATGAGAAATAATCTTATCACATCTATTCTCATAACCCCATGTGGAACCCTGGGGACGATAGTGTTTGCTGTGGTTGAGGATGAGGATAAGAAAGCAGCAGATACTGAGGAGAAGTTACAAAACAGGGTCTTTTATTTTGCAGACCTTTTATACAACTTAAAAACAAAGGCCACTATATGATTTCATGGAAAACACTTAATTGGTCCAGAATCTTTATGTGGTTCTTTAAACTTTAATTATGAGATAGCTGAACTTCTAATAGTAAGTTAACAGAACAAGAATCAGTGTCTGAGGTTCTGTAGGCTTATTATATGAAGATCAATGAACTTAACTAACCAAACACTCTTTCCAGTATGTTCTACATGGCTGCCCTGTTTACACTTCATTCAAACTTCATAGTCTGAACTGAAATGTGGAACAAACTCCTAAGTTCGGACTGAAATCCTCAGGAACAATGTAAATAGTAAACTTCAGCCACTCCTGTGGAAGGCTGCAATGATATATTTACTTCCTGACAGCCAGGAACAGCACAACGTTTGATCACTTTCCCACAGCTTTCACCCCAATAACTCTGCTACAGACTTTCTGCAGGAACAACACTCCACATCACTTCTACATGAATGGGCGAGGCTAAACTGTTGTAGGCTAAATGTGCGGTCACATACAAAGGCGTTCATGGTAGTGACATCACAACCATGCTAAATTCAAAATGCGCTGTTTTTGAATTTAGTTTACATAGTACACCAAACAATTTCATTTAAAAAAGCAGGTTTCTGTGAGAATGTAAATGCTATGATGTTTTTGCCAGTTATCTGATTCCGAAACTCTAGCTGACATTGAATCAGACAGAAGCACAGGGGATAAGATGTCAAGAATAGAGAAGACAAATGTACACAAGTTGCTCTGTGGAACATGTGGTGTGAAAGCTGGTGTTAATGAAACAGTTAGCAAGCTGCTAGCGTTCTGATATAGACAGGATGAGCCACTAATACAAGGTTGTGGATTGCTCCTAATAGTAAAGTCTTGTAGAAAAGAAAAGAGTAAACAGACATAAATGCTTTGTGAGTGCATGTGAGTATATATTTCCTCTTTGGCTTGCTATACATAATATATTATACATTACATTATAATATATATGTTATCTCACAGACATAATCCAAAGTTTCACTCCAAAGTTTCGCCTTGCATCTGCAAGTAGTGTGAGCATGATGTCAAAATAAATTTTATTAGCCCTAAAAAACAAACAATGGTCAAGAGTCAGAGATGCCAGTCGTCTGCTGTTTCTGTTTCCATCTCTTGAGCCTAACATGCAGAAAACCCACAACTTCTCATTTTGACACAAGTCATTAGAGATGCGACTCACAGACCTGTCTAGATTGCCTCTGTCTAGATGTGGGAAAGCCTGTGCTTTACCAGCCGTGGGCCTGCATTCAAGTGGCATTGTTTGTTTACCCTCCTGTGCCAGTGGAGAAGCTCGCTGTTCTATTGATCTCTGAATTTTAAAGGCACAGCCAGACCACCATGTGTCATAGCAACATGACTAGAGTCTCGATGCAGCTTTGTCCATGCAGCATTGTTCTCCAGTGTTTTAAGTTGAACAACAAACCTGGCCTCAGGTTTCTCTTATATTCTACTGTGAGTCCTTGGTTGGCTTTTCCAGAGCCAAAGATACAAATAAGCTTCTATAGGACACCCTGAAGGACCAACAGTACAACATTGGTAACCTCCATTCTCTAGGCAACATCTCTTTGAGGCATTAGTTCAGCAGCAAAATAATAATAATGGTAATCATTCAGTTTTCCCCTTAAACCAAATTATAGTCCATGAGCCAAGACAAGTTTTGTGTCTAAAGTTTGCTTCTGTTGTTTTGGTCTGGACCTAATGTTAGCAAGTAATGTACGTTATTCATTTTTCAGGAGATATTTCTGAGGACATTAGATATAAAATGATCTACTTACATAAAAAAGAAGAAAGTCAAAGGAAAATAAGAGAAAAAGCAGGTGTTTCCAAAACCGTGTTCAAAAAATTTTAACCAGAGCTGTGGGACCGGCACTGCGGTGACCTAATGGCCTGTTGTGTCTCTATCAACTCACTTGGTGACCCAGGGGATTGAGTCACACTGGTATAGCCCAAAAGAAAGTCCTTGGGGATTTTACTCCTCCTCAAGCTAAGGGTCAAGGGCAAATCGGAAGAAGTGCCAAAACTTCTCAGGGAGGAGGGGCAGTGAGGAGTAGGGCTTGGCAGCAGCTTTATGGTGATTGCTACTTGCTGCATCCTTCATTGCTGAAGTCTTCTATGACATAGTGGGGTATAGGCAGGTTGCAGAGTAGAGTAGCTTTATTAGGGCAAATCCAGGACTCAGAAACATCACTCGCATTGGTCAGAACACAGGCAGTCAGGTACACACAGCAAATCCATTATCAAAAATCCAGGAAACAAAGGGTCAAAGAATAAGAAACCGCAAAGACCATGGCTCAGAACTCACACAAGGAATACAGGGACCTCACAAAGAAAAGACCAAACAAAGGGGTATATATCAGAAAGTAAACTAGTCCATAATTATCTGTAGGTGTGTTTATTGAGGGAGGGGTGGAGCTAGAATCAGCCACTCCACACTGCGCAGTTCCAAACAGGAGTCTCCCATAGGGAGGAGTAGCCTGAGAGGGACCTGCTCTGGAAATGCAAGATTTTTCTTGACGGTTTGTGTATGTGTTTGTGTGTTTGTGTTCTCCAAGTGTGGGATTTTAATTGGACACATTTTCGAGATGATTGTATAGGAGTTAGGGTTTGAAGGAATCGCCAGTATTACTCAGTCATGAGTCTAAGTCAAATCTCTAGTCTCTGGGGTAAGAGTCCGAGTTAAGTCTTGAGTCTCCTAGGTCAGGGGTCGGAAACATGGGCTCTGTAGCCACATATGTCTCTTTTACAGCCCTGTTTTGTCTCCACAGCAGAATTAGATTTTTAGGTAAAAATAAAATAATCCTCCTTTGCAGTAAAATAAAGCTCTGCTGATCGGTCTAACACAGTTTTAACAACAAATGGTCTCAAACATTGGAGTTAATCTATATCTGCTAATTCACCCTTTAACCCTGAATATTGGCGTGCAGACTGTTGGACACCATAGCAACACAGACAAGTCTCATCTAGCTAATAGCTAACAAAAATGCAAAGAGAAAGATTTAAGATAAACCGATAATTTGGAGATAAATGGACTTACTTGCATTTATAAGCACTTAGTTGGTTTCCTGATACATTTAATCTGCAGTGAGAAACTGTCAAACACTAAAAAGTCATGAAGCTGAAGCCAGCTTCTCATTCGCCAGCTTCTCATTCGCCAGCTTCTCATTCGCCATCTTAATTCGAATTCTCCCGTTCTACCTTAAATGATGCTGCAGTTACATTCTCGAACAAAATTCGAACAAGTAGCTTGCGAATGAGAAGCTGACTTCAGCCTCATAAAAAGTCGTACGTTAAAAGCCATTTTACAAGAAATTATTTTACTTTTGAGGAAAAGTTTTCTACCGGAGATGTGAGAAAAGCAGCTATAGCTGAGATAAAGCTTAAAGCAGTTATCTGTTTTTTATGTACATATTTACAGCCAAGATGGTAAAACCTTACTTCAGTAAAATGGACATAAAATGTTGTGGCTCCCAAGGTGGTTTGATTTTTCTTGAGAGGACAAAATGGCTCTTCTTAACATTTGGGTTGCCGACCCCTGTCCTAGGTGCTAGTCCATGTCTCTAGTCTCTGATGTGCAAGTCCGAGTCGAGACTCGAGTCTCTTAGGTGTGAGACCAAGTTGAGTCCTGAGTCTCTGAGATGCGAGCCAAGTCTCAAGTCTCTGGGGTGTGAGTTCAAGTTGAATCTCGATTGTCAGTGGTGTGAGTCAAGGGTTGAATCTCAAGTCACTTGGGTGCAAGTATGAGTCGCAAAAATTGTAGTTTACTCTCATTATTAGCTTCAGTCATTGCATTTTACAAAAGTGAACATCTAAAAACCTGTCAGGTTCAACATGACTTCAGATAACAAGCCTTTCGTCATAGATAAACCTTTAGTATGAAGCTCTACACGCAGTAATGATGTTTAAAGAAAAGAGACAAAACAATCTGAAATGTCTGGCTAGTCTGTAGTTTGTATAGCAAGTACACTACCTAGAATAATTGCTAATCCAGCTGAAGTGATTGTAAGTTTTAAAGTAATGTGATCCATAACCTCAGCTAGATTTGCTGAAAACTTCTAAATAAGCACTTCCTACAGATACTCCCCCTGTATATATGGTTTTTTGAGTTTGCTGTTGGCAGTACCTTTGGGATCAAAAACTGGTGGGTGTAGTTACTGCAGAGCTAGTGTACTTAAAGAAGTGGGTCATGTTAAGCCCATAAGTGTGACTGCCTACATTCCAGGGTTATGGCCATTGGGAAGTGAAGTGAGCGTCCATTCTGAAGCTAGCAAGTATTGTTTTTAATGAGTGCAAGACTCATGTTAATGTTGGATTAGCTGCTAAAGCTTTTGCCTGTTGTTATTATCGTTTTTTAGATCCAGTAACACAGCCCATCAAAAGTGTTATGCCTCATTTTCTTTTGAAATTTGAATTTTCTCATTGTTCCAGTTATAAAAATAACTGGAAAGCTTTTTTATCATCTTTTACTCAGTATATTTCTGCCTTCCTCGGTATGTAGGAAATGTTTTGCCTAAATAATGATTTTTTTATGTTCCGAACTATAGATAAAAGCCCATTTTGAAACCTTTTCAATGTATTTTTGTCTAGGTTTAGAACTGAGCAGAAGAGGCCGTTTCTAGATCAGCTTCAAAGAGTTCCACTTTCCAGCCCAGAGCAGACCAGACTGGGGTGATCTTCACAGGCCCATGTCAAATGAAAAAATAAAAACTCTGCAGTGCAGTGGGCCATCGGAGCAGAAACAGC